GAAACAAGACTGAGAATGTTTGTTCTCTGTCCAGAACCAAATCAGTTTCTTCTCTTTTCACCAAAACTGCAAGACAAATGTATAGAACTCAGTACAGAGCTTGGAGTAAAACTTTCTTGGATTCACTATCATCTCAACATCTCATCAAAAGTTTAAAGTTTACAGATATTATATCAAAGTTTTACAGATATGATACTGAAATTTAAATCATAAGCCTGTAGGCTACTCCACAACAATATTTCTCAAATACAGCAATTCAGAAAGATGAAAAGAAAACATCTCAACACAACAGAGAAGCAAAACAGAGAGAATACTTTAGTAGAGATGGCTAATTTGCCCTCAGATTCTATCAGTGATGCTACTTCACTTTCATACGTGACAACACTACTTAAAGTCAGACCCTCCCCCCAATATAAATCCAATATTGGATGTTATACTGTCACTATTATCATTTTAACAGTGATGACAGAAATGACAGAAGGATACGTTTTTTTTAAGTGCTGTTCAGGGCCATCACTTGAACTCTCAGGGCCCAGGACAAGCCTTTATAGATGGAACCCCATGGCCCAACAAGTAGACTACTATAATGTGCAATCACACAAACATAACATTTCAAGTTTCCCTAGTCAGTTATCATTATTAAATACACTTCAAATGTGTGTATTTCACATGACTAACATTTGTTAATTAAGAAGAAGATTTTTATTTAAAGCAAATTATCTGTCAGTGTATAAGGTATACTGATGGTAAATTCAGGTTTGCCCACATATGAATGATTGAATAATTGCATTTTTGTTAGTTTTAAAAGTATTTTTTGAGAGTTTGATTTAAGCTGATAGACCTATTGTAATTTTAACTGTAAGGTGTTTTAAAGTAGTGCCTGTGTGTATATAGGCTGCAAACAACACACTGATGTCTAAAAGTGCCTGAATGGTTTGAGGACTGCATGTAGGCCTACAGTACTCGGTAAAGTTTCTCGAAATTGAGTGCTGAAGTTCTTTCTTCTGACCCGGATGTTGACCGATAACGTGCAAACAACCGCGAGGGTAATTTGAATGGGTGGCGTTAAGCAAGTATAGTGTAACGACGACGCACAACTTAGCTGTATTACCTGTACTTAAAAAGAGCCCCCTGTCCCATTTCTTATATTTTTTAACTTTTCAAATCTGACAGTCCTTCGCTCCCGAGATCTCACTGGATAGAAAAATATCCACCGACTGAACCTCAGGGGATGCAGCTGGTTATTACGTGGGTACTGTTTACTTTATTAATGCATATTCCGGTGTAGGTCTGATACTCACAGGAGGACTGTTTTTGCAAACTAGTAGCAAACCTACAAACTTCTGCTCAGAACCCGTACAATGGGGTTTAATTAGGCGAGGTTCTTGTTGAAGATTTGCTGAGAGAATTGAGGTGAAATGCCTCCCTCTAGTGTTTATATTGCAAGAAGAAAATATCTAAGATTTTACAATCGTTTTATAAACATTAGTGTAGGATATAATACAGGCATTTGTGCATAATTCTAGTCAATAAAGCTAACAATATAATGATTTTAAATTATTTTCCGAATTTTTATGAAATATTTGAAGGGTCACATAAATACATCCCCTAATGTGCATGTTGCCGTTCACATAATTACAGGCTTTGCGTTCTCTCGCTGGGACGTGAGAGAGAATCAGACGACTGTTTCTCACGAAACACCCCTTTGGTGACAAATATAACGATTAGAAATAACCTAATACACGATGCTAGGGGGTTCCACATGAATTGCATATTTTAATTACTTTTTAAAAATGTGTAGATTTAAGAGTCAATTTAGCAAAGCCCATTTTATATAGGTTGCGTGCGATCACATGATATTTATTTATGATAGGCTATAGGCTATAACATACTTGGTATGTTTCATTTATTTTATTTAAGAGATCGTACATTTAAAATATATTACATACATTATGTAATAAAGAGGCGTTTCTTCACAAAATATGAAAAGCTTCATAACAGAGCTGGTTGAAGTGAACAGTGCGCGTGGGCAGGCGTCAGTGTGAGAATGAGCAGCGCGCGATGTGTGTACTTTCATATTTTACACTGTCAAGCGCGTGAGTCGATCACTACACACTGGATGTGCCTGCTAAAGAAACACCTTTCAAGGCACCCAGGGCGGAAAATGGGACACCTCAGTTCCCAACTTTTAATCTAACTGGAGTATTGTTTCTTGTTGCAGAGTCTGGATTGTTGACATGGCAGTAGACGGTAATTATGTTATTTCATTTTATTCATAAAGATGATCGTAGTCGTTAGTACGTTGCAAGCTAGAGATGATTCGATGTATCTGCTGTCCCAGAATAATATTCTCTTTTTAATTTCCTGATTATATAAGTTTGAATATATCATATAATTTGAATTAAATATTAATGTTGTAATTGCAACAGCTATCTGAGCATCTGCTCAGGATAAAATAGCCTGTACCCAGTGACATAGTTGGTTTTAAAGAATTACGCATGTTGACAGTCTGCTAATGTGTGTATGATGGCTCATCAATTTTTGGGTTTCAGTGTGTTCAGGGTCGCAGCCTTGTATTTTGAATCAGTTCAAATTAATTTTGAATTGAGTTATTTGCTGTTAATTAATCTACACGCGCTACATTTGCTTAACGAATACTCGTAACTCTAATAAGCAAGCAATAATGTTTTTTTTAATTTATTTATCCGGCTCTCCATTGAGTATATAATGCAAAAATAACTGGTTTATTGATATGTTGTGAAGTTTTGTGTGTAAATTGAAAGGTGTCGACTTGTAATAATGGCTTCTCATTGACAAAACCCTGCACACCATTCCACGTCTCAACATGTCCTTGAAAACCTGAAAAAACTCTATCTTTTTCGCTCACACATTCAAACCTAGAACTGTATGCAATCTCAGAACACCATGAAACTGTCTTCAATCTCTGTAGTTTTCTAGTGAACCAGTTACCTGTTGAGCAGTTTGTGTCACTACACCACGTTAATGAAGGCTTGCATATTCATTTTCGCATTCATCAGCATAGATGAGGCCAAACAGATCTGAAGCAGCTACAGCTCCACATTTCTCTCTCTTTCAGTCTGTAGCTCATTACTTCACACAGATGTTGTGTTTCTCTCCCTTCCCGAAGTCCAAACCCCTCATGCTGTTCGGAGATCTCTGGCACACTTGCTTGGTTTCTCACAAGAGACCACATCGTTAGTTCAGTCCAGTGGGTACAGCAGGTGAGAAAAACACCTTGGCCTGGATTTAATTGTTTCAAGGAATAAAGAGCTGTCATGGATGATGGATCTCTAGATAAAATATGGATTTAGATTTTTTTTTTTTATTGACACATGCAATGAAAAATGGGTCACATGTGCTTGGCCATGAAGCCTGGCTGTAACCACATATTCATGATATTCAAATGTAATAGTTTAAAGGAATAGTTTAACCTAAAAAGGAAAGTTGTGTCATCATGTGCTCACACTCATGTCATTCTGAACTCATATCATTTTATTTCTTCTGTAGACAACAAATGGAGATGGTGATGCTGCTTTTTTCCATACAGTGAATGAAAATGACACAAAAAATTGCTATTGGTGTTGTTGTTTGTCAAGTCTGGACATGGACAACATCTGGTCACCATTTAGTTTTATGGAATAGAGCAACATGAACATTTTGCTAAATTGCTCATTTAGCAATTTGTTTGTGCTTTACAGAATAAAAAAATCGTACAGGTTTGGAGCTACATGATTGTATCAATAAATAAATTACCGTACTCTTTTTACAAATCAGCCACTGGACTGTACTGGTATACCACTATGAATATTCATCTAATAATAATTTAAGATGGTTACAGCCTTGAACATAGATTAGATTTTTCATACAAGAACCACATACACTTTTATTCAAAAGATTTTTTGAAATAAATTAAGACCATTATTCAGCAAGGACCCATTAATTGATCAAAAGTGACAGTAAAGACATGCATAATGTTACAAAATATTTCTATTTCAAATCAATGCAGTTCTTCTGAACTTCTTCTGGATAATAATAGGAAATGTTTCTTAAAGCAGCATATTACAATGATTTCTGAAGGATCGTGTGACACTGAAGACTGGAGAAATGGCTGCTGAAAAATCAGTGTTGTCAGCACAGCAGTAAATTATGTTTTAAAATATATTCAAATAGAAAACAGTTGTTTTTAAATAGAATTTTTTTTTACAAAATTGACTGTTTTACTGTATTTTTTTTTTTTGCTCAAATGCAGCCTTGGTGAGCATAAGAAAACTCTTTTTAAAACCATTTAAAAAAATCTTACAGACCTGAATGCAAATGTACATATAAAACTCTGCTTTCTATAGACTTTTCCATTTTCCCGTTAGTGGGTCAAGAATAAGGTTTCAGGAGGATATACTGTTTCTAGATTTAGAAGCACATCTTTTTGTGCACAAATAGAAATAAGGGCAACATCTGTCCAGGACTAACAGGCCTTGGCGTGTTTTCATCCTCCAGCCACAGTTGTGCGACATCTCTCTAATGTCTGCTTCAGAGGCACTGTGATGAAAGACTGTGTTCATCTGTGACTCCATCCCAAATGCATTCACACAGGCAGGCATCCCCCATGCACTCTTGATGAGGACAGCCTTTGTAGCCGCCTGTGAGGCTGCAGGGAACGAGAGCAAAAGACATCTCTTTTATCTCATCCAGGCCTGCACCTTCCAACACACACACAAACTTATAGTCTCTCCCTCTCATCAACTCGTGCTTATGCATACACACACACACATATGGAGATATATTACCATCACACAAACTGTCATGCACAGAGATGACTGATTGTACTCATTTGTGCTAAGACTAAATTGGTGATTAGAAGTCTGAGGTTTTAATGAGCGCATACGCACACTGTCTCTGTCTTTGTCTGTTAATGCACTAGCCTCACGCAGCTTCTGGAAGAAAATCTGTTTATGCTGCCCACTGACTCATTTACAGTCACCAGTCGAGCGAAACTGTGCTGTGCTAGTGTGCTGTATTGCTTTTAGAAATATGCACATTTTTTTCACAGTTTTGCTCTCACAGTTAAATGTATGTACACTGTCTTTTTGTGTGTTAAAGGGATAGTTCACCTAAAAATGAAAATTCTGTCATCATTTACTCATGTTGTTCCAAACCTGCATGACTCGTTCTTTTGTGGAACACAAACAAAGATATTTTGAATAATTTTTTTTAGCTGTTATGTTCATATAATGAAAGGCAGTGGGGTCCAAAAACTGTAGTGATATTTTAGTATCATTTATTAATTTTTATTTCATTTGATTTATTTTACTGCATCAACTTATCAACATTTTTTTTTCTAAACATAATAACAAAACCTAATTAATAACCTAATTATATAATTTTTTTAGTTTTAGTTAACTATAATAACCCTGCCAAAAACAACACTGAAGCATTTTTCAATATGTATTCTTTTGTGTTCCACAAAAGAACCAAAGTCTACTATTCCTTTAAAGCACATTTTGTACCAGGAAGATCCTAGCAGACGTCTTTATTAATTATATTTTCTGTTAACTGTTTCATGAATTGCAAATGCTAGTTTTGTCTAGCTCAGCAAGAACCGATGTTTCTGAGGCGTTCGGTATTTAGCAGCACTTAAAGTTTTCCTTCCTGGAAATCTGGAGCCTCATATGCTTTTCATTAGATTACCCCACGGGCTACCAATGCTCTGCTTTTTTTTATCACCCTCTGACACGCTAATGCATAATTTTCCCATTAACTTTGCTGACTAGCGTCTTTAGGTATTATTCTGGGAAGAATCCAAGCCACCCAGTCAGCCGCAGGAGATATGGGTCATTCAAACATTTCTTATTTGCTTTTACTTAAGCCTAAACCTTAAACTCTTCTCTTAAACTCCTGTCCTCAAACTGACCTGTAACCACAGCATTTTTGATGGACATCACTACAAGGCACTAGTCATCCTGATGCCAGGTTGCTGCTGCTGCACATCTCTGTGTCTTTCTGAAGAGGGAAGTGAGAATGTAAGAAAGAATGATGGAATTTGTGTTTAAATGAATGAATAAATGCCAAATCTCTCTTTTTCTGTTGCAGCGGCCTCCAGTTTTACTTTCTGTCGTCCTGCGGTGGAGTACAGGGCTCTTCCAGAGGACTTTAAGTACCAGCTGAGTCGTTGTGCAGGTGGAAACCTTACCTGGCATGAAGGGCACAGCCGCAAAACAGCCGGCGGCCGAACGGTCAAACTACTCCAACAGCCTGGAACCGAAGGACTGCAGGTGAGACCAAGAAGGAAATCTTTAATAAAACATCTCAGTCTATCTGAATGTGAGCATACATGAACCCTTTTCACATGATAGTTGGGTCAGCTTCTATATTGGTGAACGGGAGTGTAACAAATATATGATTTTTTTTAATTCCCCCAAAAAATCATTATAATGTTTCCACAACTTTCCTAAAGAGAAAAAATATAGAGATTGATTATAGAAATCTGAACAGAGAAAGATGTCTAATTTTTCCTGGCAGTTTTTCAGTCATGGTGTTACATAACTTTTTTTTTTTTGTAATTTGATGCCAATATATATAATTTGCCAATTTATATGCAATTTGATGGTAATATAGCATAGTGTTATAAATGTACATTACATTTTTTGAAAATGAAAATATAAAAAACTTATATTTTCTACATTTATGACGTTAATAACTGTGGAAACACGTCATCGCAGTCTGTGATAAGAGTCTTTTGTCTTATTATCAGAGATGGTGGTTTAAAAGTCTCATTGAGCATGAGAAAGACATACATTCCTCTTCTTCAGATTAAATAATAAAGATAAGTACAAAGCCAAGTGGTTTTTATGTATTCCCGGTATCAGCTTCAAATGATCATCATTTTGTACCATCTCATTAACATGACTTGAGTATCAAAACCAAATCTTTTTCAAGCTCTTTCTAGTGCACTTTCAGACGTTGTTGAAATTGATCTCAAGAGGACATTGAGAAAGACCAGTGCTGGCCAAGCTACTCAAAAATGTAGCTAGTTGATTACCATATTCATATATCATATAAAAGGATAAGTAGATAAACTAGTAACTTCACTATTTGCAGTGCAAATTTATGTGACCGATATGAAAAACCACAAAGTAGGCTGTAGAAACTATAATTATTATACAGCAGAGCTAATGCCGTGACAGCTTTCAGTTATTCCATACTTTAGCTATTGAAAGGTATAATTTGAGAATTTGTGTGCTGATATAATGTATGTAAGGCTGTCCGTTGCTGCATTATTAATACTGGGAAAAATGTTCTTGCCTTTCAGAAATGCACTTGTATGAAAACCTGTGCATTAAAAAAGGTGGTGGGGTGGTGGGGGGGTCTGGCAACAAAACGCTTCCTTTCCCTCTCCATCTTTCCATCCATCTAAAAGCGTGTTTCGTTTGTAGAGAATGAGTAAGATGCTGTTAGGCCAGCGGGTAGAGAAGATAGAGACCACTCTCCACAGAATGGCTTTAAAAAGCCTTGTGGGACTCAGGTCATATGGGCACTGCTGATTTGAGCACTGCGAGCAAAGAAATGGATCGTAATGTGTGTTTTTAACTTCATTTGATCTTCTGCATTAGCATATTAACGAAGCAAGTGCCTCTAGTCTGGTCTGCAGAGCTTTGTGGGTCAAAGTCAGTCTCGCCCACACAATTAAACTCCTCTTAGATTTTACGACAGGTTTGAACATACTAATTAGACCCAAACCTGATTTTGTTAAACTGAGATAGATAATATTATCTGTACTGCCTTTAATTAATAGTATTCAAAAGTAATTACTTGAGGCAAATCCAGTGTTCTGTGGTCATTTCCATTTTCTTTTCCATTTCTCTTTTTCTAGTGCTAAATTCATTTTTTTTAATCTCCTCAGTGAAATTAGCAGAGGTGCTGTTCATTTGGAAATTTTGTTTAGTGGGTTCAATATGAGGGTTTAAACAATTTTGCTAAATTGAAATGTTACTAACGCATTAGATAGGAGCTGCCATTCTCTGAAAGTAATTTTTACACATAGTATAGTATCATTTTTATATATTAGAATACATAAATACTTTGGGGTCACTAAGTGTTTAAAATATACTTTGGGGTCGCTAAAAGAAGGCTCCTCAGAAAGCATTTTAATATGCTGATTTGGTGATCAAGTAACAGTTCTTATTACTATCAATATTGAAAACTGTTGTGCTGCTTAATATTTTTGTGGAAAATATGATATATATGATACAAAGATCAAAAGAACATCAGCTATATATTATTATGTATTATTATTTTATAATGGATAAAAATGTTTCATATGTTTTTATTGTCTCATCTAATTTATTTCAAGTCTCAAACACCAGTTTCTACAACGTTCACAAATCTTGCTTTTTGCCAGAGTAATTAGAAGAGGAACGCCAGACTTAAGGTGAATCTTCTGAACTTGGGTTTAAATGTGTTGCATTTTGCTGAACCGAGTGCGAAGGTTCAGACTGTTTGCCTTTGATTTTCCAAAAAGTGAATTCATGATCAAAAGCTTGGCGTGATCCGACATCTACAGTATGTTAATTTATTCCTCATGAAAAGCCCAAACAGGAGCTGATGAGATCCTAATGTAACGGGAGGCCAGCGGGTAGGTGCTGTGCAGGTAAACTAGCGACTGACGCTAGTGGCTGCAGTCATTTAGCCTCCTTGTTAGTGCGTCCGCCTCCCATGCTGGAACCCGGGTTCGAGACCCACTCGGAAACAAGAACGAGGTGTGGCGTGAGGACCTGGGAGAGAGGGGTTACACTAACTAACCTCTGCACTTTTTTGGCCTTAATTTAAACCATCATTAATGAATAGTGAATCTTGTTAGCCTCTTCCTACAGTGACAGGAGAGATAAACAGCTCTGTTTTATCTCTCCACCAATGGCTTCATATACAAATCCTTTGTTCAGCCCAGTTACACTTGTTAGTATTTTTCTCAACAATGCAAGTTTGTGTATCTCAGTACATGAAAGACTCACTGACATCTCACCACACAGTGTGCTCTTCCCAGAAAAAAAAGAGTGAACAAAAAAGAAAATAAATCTTTTTTCACTTTCATCAGCGCTATTGTGATTATCTATAAACTTTGCCAAGACACGCCACATGTCATCGCAGAATGATCAAAGAAATAAGGACCTCAAGTGCCTGTTGACTATTTGTAGTCAAAAATGTGACTGTTATGTATGCATTTGTGTACTGGGGGCCATTTTTGATGGTTAGGGTTTGTATCTTCTCATTATTGTGCTCACACTGATCCTCTAGGGTCTGTGTGAATGGAACTCATGCTGTAAATAATTAATGTTTTACATTTAAGTGGTGTGAATTCTTTTCTCACTGACAGATTCTGTAATGTATAGACTCTCTCTATAGCATTGCCTATAGGGACATTGCAGAGTAAGAAGGATTGCATCAGCTTGTCTCCATTGTGTCAGAGTGCAGTTCAAGAAAGTATCTCGAATAATGGGCATTAAAATAGGAAAAGTTTGAAAGCTGCTTAGTCAGATCTATTTATAAGCCACAAACAAGGTACTTAAAAAGATGTAAATGCACTCACTGACATGCCTGATAATCTCATCTACAAGGGCTTAAAGGAATATTTTCTCCAAAAATTAAATCTGTTGAAAATTTACTGACCCTCAAGCCATCCAAGATGTAGATGAGTTTGTTTCTTTATCGGGACAGATTTGGAGATATTTATAATTTTTTATCATGTGCATTACATCACATGCTCACCAATGGATCCTATGTAGTGAATGGGTGCCGTCAGAATGAGAGCCCAAACAGCTGATGAAAACATCACAATAATCCACAAGTAGACGACATGACTCCAGTCCCATCAATTAATTTCTTGTGAAGCGCACAGCTGTGTGTTTGTAATAAACAGATCCATCATTAACTCTCATTCTGACGGCACCCATTCACTGCAGAGGATCCATTGGTGAGCATGTAATGTAATCTGCTCTGATAAAGAAACAAACTCATCTACATCTTGAATTTCCAAAGTGTGAGTACATTTTCATTTTTAAGCGAACTATTATTTTAAGAGGGGTTCTACAGCCATAGAGGGACCGCAGTGTTCTTATGCCCTACAAAGACAGTTGCTGGAGAGATGTGCATCCTGCCCAGGACCAGCTGAGTGGAACAGTCACTTATTCAGCCTTTATGTGTGCATGCATGCATGTATACATGTATGTGCAGTGCAAGAATGTATGTGTGCGATTTCCTGCAGTTGCAGAAGAAAGAATTCCCGACTGCCCTCAAGGGCAAACACAGCAAAGGCATAAAGTAGAAAGTTGCCTGAGGGAGAAAGAGAGAGAGAGCAGTAGAGATGGGGCAAAAACTGTGAAGGAGAAAGAAAATGGAAGATGAACTTGAGGGATGGGGTACAGATGGCGGCAAATGGCTTAGAAAAACAAAACAAATAGAGGGAGAAGTGGGAAAATAGAGGGCTGTGATTTTCTGAGGATAAATGACTGTTAATGAAATGGAACACTAAGGAAAGGGAAGAAAATATGCAAAACACAGGGAATGAAACTATTTGTGAAACAAGTCACCAGAATTTACGGCAACCTAGCACATTAGAAAATAGTCAAATATAATATATAAATAATATATAATGTATTTATTATAGAATATAATAAAGTAGAGTTTGATTGGATACAGTGTTCAACACCAATGGACAAGGGCACATAATACTTATTAGTTGCACATCGCATTGTTTTTCATTTATCCATGAGCCCACCACACTCCATTTTTTGGGTCACTTTGGAAGTTTTATGATATTAAAGTTTGGGGTCGGTCAGATTATTCTTTTTTTTTTTATGTTTTATTTTATTTATTTGTTAAGACTGTTGACACTCTGTTGAAAACAGTTGTGCTGTTTAACATTTTTGTGAAAACCATGATACCTTTTTTTTTTAGGATTTTTTAAAGAATATAAAGCATTTATTTGAAATAAAAATCTTCTGTAATTTATAAATGTCTTTACTGTCACTTTTGATCAATTGGTTGCACCCTTGCCAAATAAAATTATTTTCTTTCAAATAAAATTTGACTGACCCCAAACTTCTGAACTGTAGTGTGAATATTAGCAATGCTTCTTTGGTGTCACAGTAAACAAACATCATAATATTGTATGTCACAGATGCATTAAACTCAGTTTCATTAGCTCTCATATACACTCAGTAGCTCTAAATGTGGATGATTTGCTGGATTTATCTTTGCAGGATGATTTTGTATAATTAGTCTGTGATCATATGGAAGTGTGTGATGAAGGTCAAGCGAGTGTTATTGTGGCTCATGTCACTAGCGCAGCCATCGTAACAAATGCTAATCATTCTAGAATGGCCTTCATTTATACAGCTCGATGTGCAGAATCATGGCCGTGTCCGTTAGGCAGCCAATCAGATGGCTGTGTAAGATGAAAACATCCATCTCAATCACTGCCGGTGCATGACATGGAACACAGTTATTTAAAAAAAAATTATATTTCCCAGAGGTCTTAGCGGAAGGGAGAGCTGTTTATCTGTTTATATACTTTTTTTTTATTCTGCAAGAGATTGATTTCAGATTAGTATTGCTATATGCTAATCATTCTAGAATGGCCTTCATTTATACAGCTCGATGTGCAGAATCATGGCCGGGTCCGTTAGGCAGCCAATCAGATGGCTGTGTAAGATGAAAACATCCATCTCAATCACTGCCGGTGCATGACATGGAACACAGTTATTTAAAAAAAAAAAAAATTTCCCAGAGGTCTTAGCAGAAGGGAGAGCTGTTTATCTGTTTATATACTTTTTTTTATTCTGCAAGAGATTGATTTCAGATTAGTATTGCTATAAAAAGTTGGGCATTCATGCGTGGTAGGACTCCAGAAGGACGAATACAATTCAGTCACATTTTGAGATTTGTTATAAAAAGTTGGGCATTCATGCGTGGTAGGACTCCAGAAGGACGCATACAATTCAGTCACATTTTGAGATTTGTTTTTCAATACCGCTTCTCTGTGAACTGCATATTTAAATTAGTTTCCCTGTCTCTCTCTTCCCCATGCTCTGTTTCTTTTTTTGTATTTCAGTTACGTTCAGGTGAATCGTACTCTGTTTACCACACCAGCCCAACCTTGCCGTGTCTCTCCAGGCCAGTGGTTTTGTGGTCTCAGCAGGATGTGTGCAGATGGCTGAAGAAACACTGTCCACACAACTACTTGACCTACGTTGAAGCCTTCTCCCACCACGCCATTACAGGTGTGTTATCCAGCATAAAACAAAAAAACTATTATTGTTTATAATTTAATATATAATGTGATTTTAACATGTTAGCCATTATTCATATGGAAATCGCATTCTGTGTAAAATCTTACAATGACCCTGCACAATCACCTTTTAAAAGGTATTGCATACTCGGCAGTTATAGACCAATCCCTTGACACCAGCACATCTACTATATCTCATATGGTATGACAGAAGCATACCCTTTTAGCTGAAGGTCAGCCAACCTGTGCTCATCTAGTAAAATACATCTCTTGTCAAAGAACTGGTTCTATTTCATTCTCAACCCCTGAATTTATAGTGCTTTAGTCTTTCATGCTCCATTTTCAATATTCTAGAAAATGTAGTTTTTTAGTACTTGCACTGAATCCTCAAAAGTATGAAACTGGACATCCGCTATCTATGCTCATGGACACTTAGTTTTGTTTTTGAGACATTTATCTGAGACATGTATCATTTTCCTTCATGATGCATGAACATGTACAGTCCCAAAGCCTTCATTAGCTACTTGCCTGAGCTGTGAAAGACAAGCTGTCAATGAAAAGAATCAGGCACTGAAAAACTTTATCTACTGTCGTATATAATGTCATGTAATAACATTAGTGATGTACAGCACTGTTCAAAAGTTTCGGGTCAGTATATTTAAAAAAAATCATAATAATACATTTATTCAGCAAGGTGCATTAATTTAATCAAAAGTGACAGTACAGACTTGATTTGTGAAAAAATAAATAAATAAATGCTGTTCTTTTTAACTTTCTATTCATTAAATAATTCTGGAAAAAGTATTATGGTTTCCACAAAAATATTAAGCAGCACAACTTTGATAATAATGATTGATGAAATTATAATAATGTTTAATGAATATATAATAATGAAATGCTTCTTGAGCACCAAATCAGCAAATTAGAATGATTTCTGAAGGATCATGTAACACTGAAGACATAATAAATGGCTAAAATTGTAATAATATTTTACAATATTATAATTTCAGAATTTTACCGACCACAAACGTTTGAATGGTAGTGTATTTTTTTTTTTTTGCCAAAAAATTAAGTTGAAATAAATGAGTACTTTTTTTGGCCATCAATGGGGAAAGCTGCAGCCAGTTGGATTTTTTTAAGCTAGGACTCACTGGTCATACTGATATCCTTCATTATTATTTTACCATGTTTTTCTTGGGTTTGAAGTAGGGCTGAAACGATTCCTCGAATACCTCGAGTAACTCGAATACAAAAAATCATCGAGGCAAATTATTTGCCTCGAGGCTTCGTTTAGTCCATTTACTGTTAACTACACACGGAACACCGTGTTTCCCCACGGACCATTATTACTGACGCACAACCCGATAAACGCTGGGCCACAGACTGTAAAAAAGCGCTGGACATATTTAAGATCGTAAATCAATATGGTGGCTAGTTATGATGTCCCTAAGTTTGCTATGTGTTGTGAAAGACTAAGCGCCATTGTGCATAAAAACACCACAGAAAGAAAGAGATTTTATTTAACAGTTAAATAAACAAGAAGGTAATATTAAGAGACTTACGTTTTAGACACTATATTGCCTGATTTAGCAAAAAAATAATAATCCAAAAAGTCACAGCGCTGTTTTGCGTCTCTGAGCAACATGACGGCGTTTCGTTTCTGAATGAATCAACCGTTTAAATGATTCGGTTCAATCGGAATGACTCACTTCTTAACAGTGACTTGCTGCCACCTACTGGCGGTTTTAATTTGACATTTAAAGTATCTTTTCGTTTTTAAAATAATTTTAAATATCAGTATTCAATTTTTTATTTTTAAAATAACAAAATATTATTTATACATTTGTAACTGCAGGTTAAAATGTAAATTTTTCTAAAAAGAAAACAAATTAGTTGTTTATTTTAAGAGATCTATCTTATTATCTCTTGTATATTTAGTATTGCTCTTTAATAAAGAAAAATGACTTCTTATCCGATTACTCGATTAATCGATGGAATAATCTGTAGAATACTCGATTACTAAAATAATCGACAGCTACAGCCCTAGTTTGAAGCATTATGGTGTGAATATGCGACTCATGTCTGAGCATATCACGGGGTCCCACTCACACACTGGCGCTTAGACCGCTGCTTCTCCCACTCACTCCTTGAGTGCCCTCTTGCTCACTAGAGACCCGTGTGGCTTCCCGTCCTCCACAAATCCTCTCTTTTCTCTCAGTGGACACAAAGCATCAAGATCACAGACACACTGGGTGAGATCCATAGAAAAGGAAATTGAGAGAAAAGGAATATAGAGAGTTAAAAAACAGGTGCAGTGTTTTTTCTGCAAAGCTGTGGACTGAAGTGTTTAGAGTCACAGCACGAGAGGCTCAGTTGGAAATAAAGTGGGGAATGAACCCGAGGCGGCCTGTGCCCTCAGGCAGCGGTTCCACGCATCATGTTACCATAGTCACACATGCAAAGATCACTGGGAACACGGAGATAATAACCTTAGGGGGATTTGCAATGCTGTAACTTGTTTATAGCTGCCAGCAAAACTGTGCATACATAATGCAGAGGCTGCAGAGCTTGTGTGTTTCCAAAGCGCTCGTGTCTAGTGAAACTGTCTCTCTCTCTGTCACTTTGTCTTTGTCAGGTCGTGCTCTCCTGAGATTGAATGGCGAGAAGTTAGAGCGGATGGGTTTGGTTCAGGAGACTCTGAGACAAGAGCTTCTCCAGCAGGTTCTACAACTACAAGTACAAGAGGAAGGGCGTAACTTACAGCTGCTGAGCAGAGGTGTGTGTGTGTGTGAATAAAGAGAAAAATGAGGAAGAAATATTCTGCAGCAGGTGGCATGACCTAAAAGCGATAATGTGAGCATAATGGAAAATGAAAGTTATGGCGAATTGGTGAATCTCCCTAGCAGCTTTATTTTATGCTTTAGTGCAGGGGGTTTTACATTTTTTTATGGCAGAGACGCCCAAATATGTTGATCTTCTTGCAAGGGACACCCTTTCCAACAACATAAGCCAAAATAGTGACTAAAATAATATTTAGGAAGCATTTACATTGTGTTTAGTTGACTACATCTTTTTTCTACTCACTATTGGAGTTATGTCAGATGAATAAACCTGAAGAAAAATCTAAAACTAGGGCAGTCATTAGAACAAAATAACCAGTGTGCTCACAGTATGAAATAAATCAAGAAATTAACTAATTAATTAACATTTGTGAATTTTATGAACAGTCAGTACTAGTGACAAATAAAAATTCTAAGATAATGGTTGCTTGTTGATAGTCCCACGTTTGGAGTTGATAAGATGTTTTTTTAAAGGGGTCATATGATGCGATTTCAATTTTTCCTTTCTCTTTGAAGTGTTACAAGCTCTTGCTGCATAAAGAAGATCTGTAAAGTTGCAAAGACTAAAGTCTCAAATCCAATAGATATATATATATTTTATATATACAATAAGTATTATGATGTATTATAACTGTTGTTATGATTATTCATGAGTTGATATAACATATTATACGTTTTTTTATAATGCATTATGCATTCATTATAATGCCTTAAGAATACCCTTATAATGTATTATAAATACGGGCTTCATAGAAAGTGTTACCGATTTTTTTTTCAAGATTGTTTGATGAATAGAAAGTTCAAAACAACAGCATTTATTTTGAACTAATTTGTAACATTATAAATGTCTTTATTGTCACTTCTGATCAATTTAATTCATTCTTAAAGTATAAATAAAAAAAATTCTTATTGACCCCAGACGTTTGAACCATAGTGTGTACTAAAAACCCAAATCCATAAAACTGCCCAAAAACTGCCTCCTCAATTTTGATGTCCAGCATGTAGCACTGATATATGTATGTAGGTTGCCATTGGAGAACTATTCTGAGACGTTTTAGATTCATTCACTCATTCATGCTTTTTCTCTTCTCTCCATCCCTCACTTTCCCTCTTTTTTCCAGGGTTATCCGGAAACCTGTCATAGCTTCAACCATGCGTGGGGCAGTTCTACCAGACTGCCTGCACTCTGAAGGGACATCAGTGTGTCTGGTCCGACTGAGGCCAGAGACATTTGACTGGAGCTGTCATGGACTGGGACACAGGGACAGGTTTCAGTTATACAGTTCAACCCCCACATTCTCACTACGCTTAAAGAAAACTCATACCAGATGAGACCTACAAAAGGAGCTTTTCATGTGCACTCATGATTTATCTACCCCAAATCTACTTCGAAATGCAAACATAAAATGCAGAGGAATCTCGAATCTTCATATCTGATAAAGGAGGACCCAGCTGGCTGTACCAAAGCTCCTTGGATTTTGTAAAAACTCAGATCCACTTTAAAGTCTACAAGACCTTCTACAATGATGTCTGGTAATACTGTCAGAACTTGCTATATTATGAACTTTGCCCACAGAAACAGGCTTGCTAACTATTTTCTGCTGGAATGTGACCTTGCCAGACGTGCCCGTCAAGATTGTGGCACTATGTAAGCAAAATGTGTCCGGTTCCTGCAGGTGTTCCAGGAATCATTTGACATTAGAGATGAACCTAAATAATTTAAACCTGCATTTGTACTGTGAACCCAACTGGACAGCCTGTTTTAGTGGGTTGTATTTTTTCTTCTGAAAACTTAGTTTGTTTTTGTCTTCAGATGATTCTGTTCTAGGAACGAAAAGATAAAAAACTAGTTCCCCATGTGACAATGACGACAGCATTTACAGTGAAATGATAAGTATCTTTGGTCACAAAAGGCTGTGTTTATGTTGTGTAAATTACAAAGCTCTGTAAGTGTCTGAGAACTGCAGATGACAGATGGAAAAAAATAAAACAATGACGTGCTGCATTGTAGCCTAAAAAAGACCCAAGTGTGGACCTGCCCAAAAGACCATTCAAAAAACCCACATCAAAACATCAAGATGATACAAAGTGTTTTTGGACACCCAAAACGGCGTAAATGTGTTGACTTTGATTTCAAGTAATGATAGGATTCTGAGTTCTAGTGTTGTGACACCATGCACCAGCTTGTGATATATTAGATTTGATTATAAATTTCCTGTCAAGGTTAGGCAGAAACATTCTTCTAATACTGTGTGAAGTGCATTGGCATTTAAGTTACTTTACAGGCAACAGTATTCTACTGAAAGAGGCTAAAAAAGTTTTACCTTTACTTTGCGAAAAGCAAACTGATTTGGCATTTAAAAAATAGGGATTTTTTGTTTTTCAGTCAAAGTTCGGATTACACAATGTGCTTTTACCTGAGGGAAGTGCTGTTCATGTAAAATCTGCATTGTACATTTCAGAATGCACTGTCACATTTTTACATGACATACCCTTTACCGAAAGAAACATTTGCATTTTGTCATATATTTGTATGGTTTCCAGACCTACAGTTAAGGACTGTTCTAACTGATCATAAAAGTTATATATTAAATTGATTTGTGATTTTACCATTGAAATTAATCGTGCATATTTGTGTATTTGACATTGCATCCAGGTAGTTTTGCTTCTTACATTTTACATTTAAATGATTATTTTCGAACATATTATATATGATAGGTTGTTTGTGATTGTTATAAAGCAACATTTTTTTCCATTTCCTTTTAGACTTTTTGTTTGTGTGTACGAGTATGTGTGTGATGTGGGAATTAGTTCAGAGATAACAATACTCCCAGCTCAAGCTGTTTTGTGAACTTTTTATTTAAAATAAAGTAAGCCTGCACAACTTGCATACATTTTTAGAGAGAATTTTTTAAGAGATTTCTTTCTCTGAAATTATTTGTTTTATTTGGGTCATTCCTACAATTATTGAAATTGCTCAAAAGCCTTTTGAGCTTTGAAACTTAAAAAAAAAAACTAGTTTTTAAAAGTGTGTTTGTTTCATCATAAAATACAGTTTATACAGTTCATGTACTTAGCCTACTTATATATTATTTACAAAACAATCTCCTAAACTTGTTAAACTTGGGCTACAACAATTCTGGAGAGGTGACCTAGGGTGATAAATCAGTCAGCTTCGAGTAATGCTGACCACATGAATTAATAAACTACTAAATCTACAAGAGTTTCCTGAGGGAACCTGTTGTGAATTAGCCTTCCAGGTTGGCATACTAAGTAATGTCATGACATACAGGTACAATTTGAGACTAACACAATAAAACATATGAATTATTTTCAATGAGTCCGTTAAAACACACATTTAAGCCATTTTTTATACAGTGAAAAACTAAAACGATAAATATCATAGCTTTAGGGACTTTTAGGCACTTAATTGTAAGAATGACACAAAGAGCGTGCCGAAAATACATTTCCCACAATGCTTTTCGCGACGTATTAACAGCTGACTGTCGAGTCCCGCTTCACGGCGAGTCGGCACTGAGTGGAGAGTTATGTGTGCGATGAAGTGCAGGAGGAAAAACTCAAGCCGATCGAACAGGTATCACAATACAGCTGTCTGCGAGCCACCCTTTACTCTACAAACATATAGAGATAAATGATAGGGAAAGTGTCGATGCGTTTTTACGCAGGTGCACCTCTCCCTGACGTTGCTATCTGTTGACCCACATCGAGCCAATTCATTATTTTTTGGCATGGTATGGAACGGTTATTCATACTGTGGAATACAACGTTTCAATCTTTCTGATGATGAAAGAAAATTAATCATCATAAGAACATAAATCAGCATTGCGTTAGTTAACCCCCTTCCTTCGCTCCTGCCCCAGTTTCAGCAGGTGGCTGCTGCGCGCTAATGACGCGTTATTATTATAATGAACTATAGACTGAGGTCTCCCTCCTGACACGACATGTGTTCCCATTAGTGCACCATGGAGAGATCACATCCTAACTGACCCCCAACCGAGATTCGACCTTTGAGATGTCGATTTAATGGACTCGTGCATTAAAAATATTGTGGTGTATAATGATTTTTTAATACCAGGTGGTATGACCTATATTTTAATTTAACACACACATTCTTTTTGTAAAATGTATAGCCTACATTATTATAGTTATATTTTACTTTTATAGAAGTTTTAGAGTGTAGGTGGGGTGGCCAGCTCAGAATAAGAACACTTGGAGAACAGTGAAGTCAACTTTTAGTATAACACACTACAACCTTTGATGTAAAATATTTACTTAAAGTACGCTGTGAGATTTTAAGTTCTCTATTTCAATAATTTAACAACACATTTGCATTGCAATAATTTAAGAGCACATTTCTCTGATGTTAATTAATGGTCACATGGCATGTAATTAAAATGAAAAGTTTTATCATTTTTATTAAACATTTTATTTTGATTGTTTTTATTTTAAAATGTATTTTATATTATAATTAATTATTAGCTTTTCATCAACTTATAAGACCCATGCAGTTCCCTCATGAAGCCGAGGGTTTTGTGATCCCCAGTTTGGGAACCCTATAGCATATAAAAAGCCACAAAAAGCTGTTTTGTGTATTTTTTTGTTCTGAGTAAAATATGTATGCAATCTCGCTTGTCTCCTCAAGAATTCAGGAAGAAAGGTACAGGAGATTGTCTCTCACTGTAGCGAAATATGATTTCAAATAAGATCATTGCTATCCATTGGGTTTTGGTTCTATTTTTTATTTTTTTGTTTGTTTGTTTAATTATAACTATTTTCAGCTGAGGAATTTTAAAAGAAACATCTGATACAAAACTGACACTTAAACGAAATCTGAGAACTCTTGAGTAGTTAAGCTTTCCTTCAGGTACTCTGTGTCTCTTGGTTCTATTAATACTTTCCATCCATGTCACCTGTAGAGCTGATCCTCTTATCCAATCAAGCCCACACATTGCGAGCGAGTTTCCAGACACAAAGAAAAGTCGTTTTTCTATTTATTAAAAGGTTTCTCAAATACAGTAGTCAGTGGTCGGCTAACGATCGGCTAAACCTCAAGGATTACTCCGATAAAACAAAGGCAGATCCCAGTGTTTATCTACAGATCTGGTGCTTTCTTAGGGAAGGTGTTTGATTTTCCCAGTGCATTCAGAGTGCTATGATGTCTGCCCTCTCTGTGACCCAGGCTTTGTGCTTCAGCTGTGATTATTAGCTGGTTTATCTGTCTTGGGCCTTTGAGCTTCAATGAGAATGTGACCTTTATTGCTCATATGGAAGACAGCCGTCAGACTATTTTAGCTGATATGAGCACGCTGCCCGGATACACAGGGGCCAGGATATCAGGCTGCTGGGCACTCCACTCCGTACAGATGGAGGGTAAGTTATTAAATGCACTGTTTAGTATTTAAAAGGTTAATTAAATGCCGCTTTATTCACTCGTTTGAGTATAATCTGAACAGAGTGACATATGCAATTAAAGAGTAAATCATTAAAATGGCTTAAAGTGCTGCAGCTGGTGTTTCCTCCAACCTTTTCGCTTAAAAGAGTTTATCGGGTTTATAGTCTAGATTTTGAGTCTGCTTTTTTATTTCAGGGACCTATACATTTTTAAGACGTTATGTCTTTTGGCTATTACCATAATATTAGCAGCACCTTTCTCGTTTGCTCTGTGTTGTTGAGCTGTTTTGAATGTGCGGTGACTGGTGGCCTGATTTAGTCACTCATGTTAATACAAAGACAGTGAGAGACAGACAGGTTGTGTATGACACTGACGTGATGCAGGGGAAAAGATCTCTTGGCTGCTGTTTTAAACCTCTTAAATTATTTCAGTTGGATTTTAATGATTGAAAGCTTGTTTGTTTCAGTTTTAGGTTGAATCAGTTGATCATGTACAAGAGAATAGCTTAAACATTCATTCACACACACGCCCACCATTGTTATTTTAATAATATTTGCTGTATATACTATTATAGTGTTTCTACATTTGTATTAATTTTTAAAGTTTTAGTAATTTGCTTTGTCATTTATGTGCTTTGTCATTTATATTGGTTTTTGTTTTTATATTTAGCTTTCATTTAGTTTTATTTTGGTTTTAGTTGTATTCATTTTAGTACTTAAAACGTATTTCATTTAATTTGTGAAGGCAACATTTCTAATATGTGTAATATTCAATTTTATTTCAGCCTTATTTCAGTTATTAACAAAGATTGGTAAGACTTTACTTAAAGCCTTTATGTATAATGCATTATAAAAATAGTTTTAATGCATTAATTATGCCTTGTAATGCACCTTATAATGCATTGTGCAATGTCATGAATAATTGTAACCACAGTTAATATACATTATAACACTTATCAATTCGTTGTTACACTATGCATTTTAAATTTGGTTATAATTATTTACGACAATATATAATGTATTAAAATGCGTATTATGAATAATTATAATGCATTTTACCCTTTAATGACACTTTATAATGCATTATAAATAAAGGCTTTAAGTAAAGTGTTACCAAAAAGATTTTTAATAGTTTTGGTTTTACTTTTTGTTAAGCATATCAATGACACCTGCTACTCACTGCCAGTTTATTTTGTAAGGCATTAACAATTGCATTTGACATTTATATCCTATAAACATCAAACAAGTTATAAAATATATGTTCATAATTATAATAAACTTGATAAAAGCAACTCATTTAGTTCTGTGGTACATGCTTTGTTGCTGATTTTTTTTTTTTTTTAGTATGTGTTTTGCATGAGACGTTATGGAAAAAAAGTCAAGTGTGTAATTTATGTAGCACTAGTGGCACCAAAAAGAACAGCAAAAATAACTGTTGTCAATAAGGTTTCCCAAACACTCCACCTGTATTCGATTGGTTGGACATACAGATTGCCCCACCCCAAATGCATCTCATTGGTGGAGCTGCTGTTGCTATGTTGGGTGGGTCAGACAGAGAACTGATTTGATAGAAACAGTGTTCACACTTTTTGGGAAAATCAACTTACATGTGTCTTGGTAACACTTTACAATAAGGTACC